TCTTCTTCTCCACAATCCTTAATTCAACAATCTTCTTCTCCACAATCCTTAATTCAACAATCTTCTTCTCCACAATCTTCTCAACAATCTTCTCAATAACCTATTTTTCTACAAAATTTTTCACAACTTTCTCGTCAAGATTCTCAACAATCTGTTATTAATATGTTTGAAGATTTTATATTTGATGAAAATATTATTGCAAAATTTAATAATTTAACAAATTTACCTATTGTTTATAAGTTTTATACTTTTAATAAAGATACTAATAAATTTAAATGCAAAAAATGCTTGTAGGTTTTATTTTTAAAATTTATTAATAATAAATTTTAAATTAATATATTAATTTTTTATAGAACTGAATATATTAAGCCAAAAGATAAATCTACTGGAACAATGAGATTACATCTTAAAAATAAACATAAAATTGACTTAAATGAATTAGAAAATAAACCAGAAAAAAAGGTAAATTAAAATATTTTATTTAAAATTTTATATTTATAAATTTAAATAAAATTTTATAATTATTAATTATTTTAAAAATATATAATACAAATAATAATAACTTATATTTATTTATTTATAGAAATTTATACAAGAGGAATTTATTAATATAATTGTTGATTGGATAATTGATGATGATCAATCATTTAGAGTTATTGAAAAACCTAGTTTTAAAAAAATTATTGAATATTTAAGTGATGATGCAAAACTTGTATCAGGAGCTACAATTAAAAATAAAATTATGTTAAAATATACATCTGAACAAACTGAAATTATCAACAAATTACAGGTATATTTATTATAAGTTTAAAATTTAAAATTTAATATTTAATATTTAATATTATTTATTTATTTTTATTTTTAGGAATTATCTTGTAAAATTTCTATAACACTTGATATTTGGACTTCTCCTAAAATTGAATCATTTTTAGGAATTGTTGCGCATTGGATTGATGATAATTAGAATTTGCAACAAATAACTCTTGATTTTATTCAATTAAAAGGAATCCATTTAGGAGAAAATATTGCTAATACATTATTTGAAATATTAAATAATTTTAGACTTTTAAATAAGGTTTTTTAAAATTTTGTTATTAATATAATTTATATTTAATTATTAATAAATTATTATTTTTATTATAGATTTTAGCAATTACAACTGATAATGCAGCTAATAATAATACAATGTTTCAATATTTTGCTAATCATTGTGCTTTTGATGAAATTAATTTTGATATAAATAATCAAAGAGTACGATGTTTAGCACATATTATTAATTTAGCAGCTCAAGATCTTTTAAAAACTCTTAAAGCTGAAGGACCTGATGAAAATAAAATTATATTAGATAATAAAAAAATTACATCTACAGTAAAAAAAGTAAGTAAAATAAATTTAATATATATAAAATATTATATAAAAATTATATTAATTTTATTATATTAATATATAAAAAGCTTAGAAAAATTATTACTATAATTTATTCATCACCACAATGAAGAGAAAAATTTTTTCAATATAATTTTAATAATCTTGAACTACTTCTTGATGTAAAAACAAGGTGGAATTCAACATATTATATGTTAAAAAGAGCACTTGAATTAAGAGAAGTAAGTAAAAATTTTAAATTTATTAAAAATTTATTATTAATAAATTATTTTTTATTAGGCAATTGATATAATGACAAAGCTTGATAAAGAAATAGAAAAATATTCTTTATCAGAAGAAGAATGGAATCAAATTATAATAATTCAAGATTTATTAGAAGTATTTAAAATATATCTTATAAAATTTTTATAAATTAAATTTTTATTTTTATTAATTTTATTTTATAATTTAGAATTTTGAACAAGCAACTAATGATATTAGTGGTTGCAAATATTCAACTATTGGATTAGTTATTCCATTTTATAGCTCTTTACTTGATGAAATAGATAAATATATTAAAAATTATTCTAATACAATTATTGAAGAAGCAGCTAAAAAAGCTAAAACTAAATTAGAAAAATATTATTCAGATGCTGAAGGTTTAGTTTATATTATTGGAACAAGTATGTATTATATATTAATTTATTTATATTTTTGTTATAAATTTATAATTTTTATTTTTAAATATATATATTATTAGTTCTAGATCCTAGACTTAAATTAGAATATTATGCTGAAAATGAATTAGATGATTATATTGAATCTTATAAAAAACGAATTAAAGAATTGTGGAAATCTGAATATCAACCAACCCAAAATTCTATTTCTAAAAATAATCAACAAAAAAAAGTAGCTACTATTTTCAAAAAATGTAAAATTGTATATTCTGATGAATTAGATATCTATTTAAGAAATCCAACAATAGATCCATTTATATATGATGATATTTTATTATGGTGGAAGGTAAATAATAATTTTTTAAATTTATTTTATAATTAATATTAATATATTTTAAAATAATATTTAAAATATAGAATCATGAATTTGAAATGCCATATTTAGCTAAAATGGCAAAAGATTATTTATCAGTTCAAGGTATAATTTTTTATAATATTTTATTAATATTAATTTATAAATCTAATTATTTTAAATTTAATTTCAATATTTAGCTAAAAGTGTTTCTGTAGAAAGAGCATTTTTAGCTACTAAAGAATTAATTACTTCTAGAAGATGTAATTTAAATGCTACAACAATTAGAGCATATATGTGCTTAAAAGAATGGCAAAAAATAAATTAAAAATTTATAATTTAAGGATATTCTATAGAATAAGTAGGCAATATAAGAAATAAGCTTCATTAATAATTAGTAATTATTAATTTTAATAGTGAAATTATAGAGTTTGTAGAATTTGACTACCTATTCTATAGAACATCCCATCTTTTATTAAATTATAAATAAGTAATTTTAATTATTAATATTTAGTAATTTTTTAAATTTTGATAATTTTGTTTGAAATATAATAATAATAACCCATGGTGATGATCACCATAGGTACCCGATCCGAAATACATACATTTCATATAACATCAACGCAAGTACTTATTGTGTAACTTCACATATTTGATGACGCATAGTAACACTGTGATTTTAACTTTCTTACTTTACTAACATGCTTTACTAACACGTAGCGATTAGGTCTTGCTTTTTTTTATGGTGCTCCATTTTGCTACTATTCTTTTTTCGTTACTGTGCTTTTTTCGTTATTATTGTTTACTTTTTTTTTCCAGTATTTCTTTTATTAACGCGTTCTATACATATTCACGTTATTAGCGGCGACTTATAAAAAACTGATTTCTTTGTTGTTAAGCTTGTTACCTTTTTACAGTGTGTTTTTACAGTTTTGTTATATTCCTTGTTGCAGTTATAGAGACGGTTCGTAAAGAAATTACGGAAGGTGAGTTTATTATACTTTTTTTTTTTAGAATGCACTCTGGAATGCTTGTTTGCTTGGTTACTTTTAAGTGTTTCTAACATTTTTAGACTAGTTCCTTTAGAGTTCACAAGTAGTGTTCCAGTAGATTTCAAAACTACAAATAATATAGGTGAAGAATTAGCTATTGAATCAGATAAAACAACTGAGTTAATTATAGAAATAGAATTGGGTGATGAGCAGGGTCTTCAATTTTGGTGAAAGATTCGTTTTCATCGTGAGATTTAGCCAAAGCGCATCTTAATAATTATGCTAAAGCTATAGGATTCTCTTTACGTCAAAAACGAGTAGCAACTGATTATGATGGAAAAGTTCGGCATCGTATATTTGAATGCTCATGTGCTGCGGAATTTGTTAGCAATCAAGTTATTGATCTTTCAAGCAGCATAAACGTGATTTGGAAAAAGTTTCTTGTTCCTAGCATATTAATCTATCCAAACCAAAATCATCACTGAATGTAGTCATTACAAGTATAGTAGGGAAGCATGAGCATCCATTGCAACCAGATGTTACTTTATTTGCTCCAAAATATAGAAAACATTTTTCTGAAATCTTGCAAACAATAGAGTTTTATGTCACAAAGGGAAACATAGGATCTAAACAAATTCTGCCTCTTTTAACTGCACAATTCTCTAATTATACTATCCATAAATATGATCTTTACACTGCTGTCCAAAAGGTTAGAAAACCAATAAATCAGCACCACAGGGAAGCACAACAATTCATTGAATATTTAATGCAGTTAAAAAATCAGGACCCTGGTTGGATTGTCAATGTTCGAATTGCCCATATGATAGTCAATTGTTGGGACTATTTTGGATGTCACCATTGCAACAACAATACTTGATTCGCTATATTAATATTGTTCAAACTGATAATACGTGCCAAACAAATTGGTTTAATATGTATTTTACGCTTTTAGTAGTCATTGATAATAACACAAAAACTCAGTTGGTGGCTCAATCATTATCTGATGATGAAACTACTGAGTCATATGAATGGTTTTTTGAATGTCTCATGAATGCAACACATAATATATCTCCAGCTGCTTTATTCTTTGATGCCGAGCCTGCTTTAATTAGTGCTGTTGCTTTAAAATTACCTACAACACATCATTTTTTATGTGTTTTTTATATTCAGGAGAACATCTGTAAAAATTTACAAAGTAAACTCGGCGGAAATTTTGATGAGTTTTATAAAAAATTTTTACATGCGCGAAATAGTACATTTGAAGAAGATTTTTATAGGAGATGGTCACGTCTATTAAATAAGTATCCTCAAACACAAGATTATTTCAATAGGGCATTACAGAGTTGTTTAAAATCGTGGGCTCGTTGTTATCAATTAAAAGTTTTTACAGCAGGAGTTCAAAGTACCCAACGTGTCGAATTAATGAACAAACTTGTCAAAGAAGGTATAAAAAGCACCTCCTCTCTGCGTACCCTCATGAACGTATACAAAATCTCCTGGATAATGAAGCCAAGTGGTCATGACATAATAATTACTTAAACTCTCTTCTCACTAATCAAGCACTTTCAATTATTGATTCAATATTTCCAAAAGTTTTAGAAATATTGAAATCATATTTGACGTCTCATATATTGGTTGTACAACAAAATCAAATTATTGGATCTCTTTTGTATCGTGCACAACTACAGCCGAAGGAAACCTTCAAGGATTACAGGTTTAATAATCTTTTCATATTTAGTTATTTTTATACACAAACCAAAATTAAATAATTCGACAGTCGAATTTTTTAATTTTGACTCGTAATAATTTACACCTTATTTTTATTTTTAGATAAACCTTCAATTAGATTATAACAACAGTTTTTTAGAGGATCAACTTAATAGACCCCAAATATCCTTTATGGCTCTCATAAAGGATATTGATCTAAATGATGTAGTTGAAATTTGGAAGCTGATTGGATTGTCAATTGCCTACAAACACTATATTATATTGTTGAGTGATGGTGGACATCTATGTACTTGTATGTCTATCATAAATCGTGGCATTGTATGCGCTCATTTTTTTCAAGTGATGATGAATACTCGAATTGGTTTAGTAGCGAGGTGTTAGTATAGGGATGATCTGCAGAATAAAGAGCTGGATGTTTTACAACTGCAGAGTATTGAAATTTCAACAACATTTCAACAAGATATTTCAAGCTCGATTATTCCAGACCTTCATATTATCAAACAAATCTGAGACAATGATACGTTTAATGCAAAAAATTAACATGTAGTTAATAAAAAAGTCAAATATGCTCATGGGTTTGGCAAAATGAAGAAGGCTCTTAATACCGCTTTGGATCTTGGATGTGAAAAAGAGCTTATTAATCAATTACTCATTTTATTGATAAGAAAGTATCCATCTATGAAAATCATAATGAAGGTGCTCAATTTGATCAATCTGAACAAATAACTGTAATGGATCCCTTTGTTATAAAACGTCATGGACGGCCCTCTTAATAAAAGATTAAAAAGTTCTTCTGAAGCTAAAGGCCATAAAGAGTCAAGACATGATAATAGTGCAATTAATCCGCAAGATCCTAATTTAAGAATACCACTCTCAAACGTTGATTCAAATAATAATCATGTTATGGATATGTCCAATAATGGTAATATAGAGGAAAACAAGAGAAAATATGTCTGCAATATATGTGGTGGGACAGGACATAATGCACATACATGTAAACAGCAACAATTGTAATAGTCATAGTGCACTTTGAATTGCTATATATGATTTGAACTAGCACTAATTAGGAGAAATATGTATGCATAGGGATAATTCATAGCACGCTTATAATTATGATGCATTGTTTCAATTAGCATTTTGCAGTTGTAAATCTTATTATGGTGTTAAGTATAAAGTAACTACATACGCACGTACATACGTATGTACATACGTACATATGTACATATATATGTAGCGGTGACAACTTACTACTAATTCATTTATTTTTTAGACAACAATGTGTGTATTATAAATATTACTTATATTAGATAAGTAGCATTTGTTTTATACATGTTTAGGGAGGTGCTAACACAATTAGGGTTAGGGTGGTGTTAATATGTGGTTAGAGTTAGGATAAAGGCAGGTTATAGGTATATTAATGATTTCTAAATAAAAACTTTTTAGCATATATATGCTCTCTTTATTTTCGTATATAAAGTCTAGTTTTGTTATTGTATTGTAATAGCATTGCTTTACTACGTATATAATTTTTTATGTGCGTGAAATGATTTAATGTTTAAAATATACTAAGTACGTTAAGTTAGAAATTTAGAGTTGAAGTATTAGAGTTAGGCGCTTTAGAATAAATAATTGGTTACTTTCATGTGAATTTTATTTCTATCATATATAATTATTGCGTTGATACAGGTTTATATGCCCGTTTTCCTCAATTTTTATTTTTTTACCTTGCGCACATGTTAGGCTAGTTCAAGATAAACTATAAATATATATTTGATTAGTTGCAGTTCTTTATACAGTATATATGTTAGGGTCAGGTTGGTTTTTAGGTCAAGTTAAACTTGATCTGGCCAAATTGATCCTGAACAGAGCAGAGTTTTAGGATTAGTACAACCGTAATTATGTCAATGCCAGTCAGGTTTTTTTAATTGATTAATTTATCTAAAAAACCCACTTGGCCCATAATACATACAATTAGTATATAGCTTCGAATGCCGTACGTACTATATCGAAGTTACACAAATTATTTTGTAGAATGCGAATATTGTATTACAAAGATGTTTCTCAACTTCCGATTGTGTTGACATTTATATCGTCACGTGACTATAGTGATCATCACTATAGATTATAGTTAGTAATTTCCATTTTGTTTTTATTTAATAAAATTATATAATATTATAGTTCAATATTTTTTTAAAATAAAAATTTTAGAATGATTTATAAAATTTTGGTTGGTATATAAGAGTTATAAATCAAGAATATAACTAATTTTAACCGGTGGTTAAATCACCACCTTATTATATAAATTTGTATAAATTAAAACTAAATTTTAATTTAAAGATTAGGTTTAGTGTTAAATTAAGGTTAGAATATGTAAATATATATAAAATTATAAGCTGAAAACTTTTGCTTAAAAGCCCAAAGTGGGTTTACATAATAAAATTTTGTGATATTTAAAAGTTTTAATTTTTTTCTTAATTTTTACTATCATTTTTGTTACACAAGATCCTGTAATTTGATTGGTTACTTATATATGCGAGTTACGTAACCAGGAGGCTAGTTAGCAACACTCATAAATCATTTGAATATACAAAAGTAATCTTTCTATAAAATTTTCATACAAATTAAATACACTAAATATATTGGAAAAACATTCAAATGAAAATTAATAATGTTAACATTATTGTTATAATATATCAATCATAAATAAATAATTTTTTGGGAAATGCATAATTGAATTATCAAAGCAAACTAAATTCATAATATTAATGTTCTAAATTAATATATCTAATTAAATTTGATTTATAATAGTAACACAGCTCATAGAATATTTTAATAACCTCAGTAAATTAAATTCATACAAGAAATTGAATATCATCATAGGCC